TAAGGATCCAAGGACTCAAATAATAGGGTGTTAGGGTTTAAGGCTTAGGGTTTAGGGTTTACGGTTTAGGGTGTTGGGGTTTAAGGATTTTTAAGGGTCCAAGGACCCCAATAATAGGGTTTTAGGCCAAAATACTATAGTGTTAGTGGTATTTGGGACCTAAACCCCAATTATTTGGGTCCCTGGACCCTTACATAGTCCCCATATATCCCTATATATCCCCCCTTAACCCCCTTTAAAGGAACCCTACTCTGTGGGTCCCTGGACCCCGAGGAACAACCATGCTTGCCTTTGGTTAATAGAAAATCAAAACATTCCAAGGACAATGCAAGCTGCTACAGTATTGGGGATCAGATGAGGGCTCCCATCTAGGTTTTAGGGTGGATCCATGCATAAACCCTGAACCCTAAACCCATTCCTTCATCCCCTGCTAATCAAAGGTAAGTATGACAGATTATTGGACCATAAACCCCATACTTCCTGCAAACCCCTGCGGGGGCCGCCGTATTTTTGAGAGTATCTTGGGGTCATATTGGGATAAGGAAAAAGAAAATGGAAACTACTATGTAGGGTTTAGGGTTTAAGATTTAATGTAGCCTCCTGATTAATCAACCCCCTCCCCTTAATAGGGGTTATAACCCCAATAATGGAGAATCAAATGGAAAAGAACATGGAAAAGGAAATGGAAACTGGGGAATATATAGGGATTGTTTGGGGTTGTATAGGGGCTAAAATAGGGATCTTAATATTCAGGCCCTTAAAAGGAGGGGGTTCTGAATCACGTGTCTACATTAGGTGCTGTGTCCTTCATGTTACTGACAGTTAGGGGAAGCCTTTACCTGAAGCCCCCCTAAACCCTAAACCCTGAGCCCGAAACCCTAAACCCTAAGCAGTGGGGGCCAGGGAGCCCCTTCCCCCTTTCGGCGCGTGTTGCGACTCTCCAGGGTTTTTGGGGCTTTGGGGTTTCAGGGTTAAGGTCTATGGGGGTTTTGGGTTTGGGGTCTTTGGTGTAGGGTTTGTGGGTTTGGGGCTTTAGGGTGTAAGGGAAAGGGCTTTAGGAACAAGGTCTTATAGTAGCAAACACACACCAGCCGTATATAAGGCCCAGGCAGACAAGGTGTAATTTAAGCTTCTTACCCTAGAAGCCCAGGTACCCATATGGTAGGTCCTGGGGTTACAGATAGTATATAATTATGTAAGGTCTTAAGGACAGGAACCCAATGTATAGGTACCTGGGCTTGAGGGTTAGATGAAAGCCTTATTTGGGGCGTTTGGGAGTGCTAGGCTGGGTAGTATATCACAATATCCGATCAGTTAAACTTGAACCCTAAACCCTAAACTCTAAACCCTAAACCCTAAACCCTAAAACCCTAAAACCCTAAACCCTAAACCCGAAACCCCTAAACCTCAAACCCTAAACCCTAAACTCCTCCCAAGATCTCATCTTGAGGTATGGCTGAGCCCGCCGCAGGATAGGTCTCCAAAGGTTCCAGTCTGGGCGTGTCAAAGCTTCACTAGGGTTTAGGGTGTAGGGCCCTCAAAAATTGATTTTGTAAGCCTTCATGATTATTCTAAACTCCTAGTATAATCCCCTATATAACCGCTTTAAGACTATAGGTCCTATACGGATTAAGGGTAATCCAAAGTAAGACTTTCCCCTGTTCGGATCCAAATGCCCCAAATAACAGGAATTAGGGCAAATTGCGCAGTCTGGCTGGATTTTGCTACAAAAAGCCGAGGCTGCAAGTTGAAAGAATACATGAGGGTTTTGTGGGGCCCTGTAAGAACGTTGAAAAGCTGGCAAGTGGCAACTACCATCTATACGAGGGCACTGAATTACGCAAAAAGGCTTCGTGGCAGAATCTTGCTGGTGCCTACGGAGGTG